TGCAGTGGCATTCTATCATAAAAATAAGAACTTCAAATGGTGTCTTTTCCCAACCACAGTATATTCTCAAACAAGTTAAAAAGAAATATGATGTCAAGTGGCAATGGTTTTTGTTTTGTTCTTTTTTATTTTGAAGTCTTGATAGGAACAATGAGGCTTGTGAATACTTCACAGGTAGATCTTTACTTGGTCCATTTTACATGATTTTGAGTAAGATTTAAGTTAAATAAAGCTATTTTTGTGACTATATTCTTTAGCAAGAGGATTTACTGTTTTGATTAAGAGAGGAAACTAAACCTTAGTAAATAATAATATTATTAATAATTTTCAATTCCATAGACATCTAAACAATTATTGGGTGTGCTAATAACAAATAATGGTAGAATAAGTGAGTGATTGTTATATACCGCTTCTGGAAAAAATCTTAAAATGCCTAATTTACTATAAAACAATTAGTAATATATGTTAACTTCTACTGTTTTATACACAAAGGACATAGTACTTTTTAGATGTTCATTTCAGTTAACCTTCAGGGAATGAAAAGCTGTAGATTTTTAAAGCACTATGATAAATGTTTGTGCCAAACTTGTATGAGCATGTAAGAATTAATTGCCAGCTGTCTACCTGCAAATGCCGAAATTGCTACAAAGATTAGCATGTGGGGTTTTTTTTTTTAATGGCATCAAATTCAGTCAAAAATCTCCATGAAAATGTAACACTATACGTGTCACTCTCTTATTTGCAGGACTTAATTTTTAATATCAGGATATAAGTTAGATAAGGCAAGCCTTAAGACTTATTTGTTCCTTAATGAATTCTTAACATTTATAATCTAGATATTTCTGTGTATGATTAAAAATGCCTTTTAAATATGCTCCATTGAAATGGTTATGTGAGTTAGTTCTAGGTTTGTTCCAGATGATATTCTTTTCTTTTAGGCACTTCTATTAGAAAGATTATAGTAGTTATTTTGAAAATGGTGTGAAGATACATTTTGGCAGGATGTGTCTTGCCCAACCATATTGCATATGACTTCATCATTGTCAGAACTTCTTTGTTTTTTCTGCATTGACCAGCTCACCTATGGTGGATAGTGTCCCTTAGTTCTCTGCCATCGCTCACAGGGCCTTTTCTCTTGTTTTCGTGCAGCTCCTTTTCAGGATGTTTTTGTTAAAGGGTCTTTTCTTTCGACCAACACTTGAAATGTTGTTTCCTGGCATTGCTCAAGTATGTGATGATTCTATGTTCCTTCCTTATTGAAACCTCCTGGCTGTGCCTCGTATGCTGCAAGGGTGACAAACTCAGCTGCCTATATGAGCAATTAATGTAAATCAATGCAGATCGGGGTGTTTGTTTGTTTTTTAAGCAGCATCAAAAGTATATGGGGATTTTTAAAAAATTTTGCCCGGCTGGCATGGCTCAGTGGCTGAGCATCAACCTATGAACCAGGAGGTCATGGTTCGATTCCCACTCAGGGCACATGCCTGAATTGTGGGCTTGATCCCCAGTGTGGGGCATGCAAGAGACAGCTGATCAATGATTCTCTCTCTCATCATTGATGTTTCTATCTCTCTCTCCTTTTCCCTTCCTCTCTCAAATCAATAAAAACATTTAAAACAATAAAAATTAGAAAGAGCATGTCCCATCTACCGCTATTTCCCCTTGGTCCCAGCCTGAGTTGGTATGAAGGAACAGAGGCTCAGCTGTCATTCCTTCATTATCAGTGTTTACTATGTGCCAGGCATGTAGGTGCTAGGGATAAGACAGTAAATTAAACAAAGATAGCTCCTCTCCTGGAGCTGACACCAACGCTGGAGATTTGAGCCCTCATGGTCACACTAGGGTTAATGATATTTACTATTACCAGGTTTTCAAATTTAACAAAGATCCAGATTTTTTTTAGTGAAATTCTACTTTTTAAAGTGTTAACTTTATTTTAAAGAAACAAACTCCCTGTTGAAATTGTATTTACCTGTTAGCAACACTAGCCTACAAAATAATATTTGAATATCTGACTCTGAAATACCTCCTCACCTACACTTATTTTTCCAGCTTGATCTCCATCTACTTCTTTGTTTTCCATCCTCTATTCACAACTGACCGTGCCTGGCCCCTTCTTTCTTCTATTACATCTTATGTATTGTACTTCTTGCTGGAATGCACTTCCATTCTCCCCACCCCACCCTTTCCACCCCTAGTCAATCAGTACTCACTGACAGCCCAAATGTTTCTTTGTAAGCTGACCCTAATCTCACTGTATAGAATTACTCATTCTCTGCCAGTATTCCACAGTATTTCCTACATTCTCTCATTAGAGCGCTCACCAAAATGTTTTATAGACCCTGAGCCCAAAGAAGCTATAATTTCATCTTTGTATCCTGAGAATCTAGCATAGTACTTTATACCCAGTCATTGCTTCCTAAATTCTTGTAGAATGATTGGCCAGGCCTGACATCTGGCTCTCTGCAAACCAGCAGTGGTGGTAACCTGCACCAGATAGGCACACAACGAACAGATACTCTATCGGTAGAGGCTTTGTTTCACAAGTAAACAATCTTGATGTAAAAATTATCATTTGATTTAAAATGGTAGTTATCAACTTCTGTATCAGACATAGCTGCAATAACTACTTAGGTCTTTGTACCCAACTCTTCTTACCCCTGACCCCACCCTCCCTGGTCCCATCACACACATACATCAAAATTCCTGGAATGGCTATATTGGCTGCTAGTGCATATGTAATTTATAAACCCAGACTTGTCACATGACATAGCAGAAATAATCTCTTCCCTTTGTACTCTAGTTTTCTTATTTATTGCTTTCAAACTACCAAGGTATATTAAAAGGTAGGTGTGGGTGGGGGGCAGCAATGCAGGATAGACATGAGGAGCAAACTTTATTGAGAGGCAACTGAGTGGCTACGACGTTTGAGGCACTGCACGTGTATTGTCTCATTATTCCTTTTTAAAAAATATTCCAGTGAGTTAGGTAGAATTATCCTCAATTTAAGGATGAAGAAAATGATGCTGAAACAGGTGAAGTTACATGCCATAAGAGAATTCTGGATACTTATTTTGGACAAAGATTTATAAGTATTATTAATTCATTATATACATTGTCCTTTTTCAACAGTTTTCTTCTTCTGTAAATTCAATACTGCACAAAATATATTATTTTTACTTGTATGGTAGCTACTGAATTTAGTCTGTTTAAACAAATTACAAATAGGTTTTCAAACATGTCAGACTTCCCTTTTAACAGAAGTTTTGTAATGTCCTGTTTAGTATTCTGAAGTGCAATTCTTATAAGCAACTACCTATTTATCCTCTGTTGGGCCACTTACAGAAGGCAACCAATTAATGTCTCTCTTTCATGTCAATGTTTCTCTCATTCTCTCTCCCTTTCTTTCTCTCTCTAAAATCAATTTAAAAAATCCTCTGGTGAGAAAATATCTAGCTATATCTATCTATATATCTAGATCTGTATATCTATATAAATATGGATATAGATATAGATACATATGAATATGGATAAGTCTAATTATTTTAATTGTGATGCAAATAGTTATAAGCAGTGTACCTGTTACTGATATGTTTTTTCCAAAATAGTAAGTAACTATTGGTAAAGTTCCAAAGTGTTGAAACTTTCTTCTACTTATTTGATAGTTGAATTTCTGGAAACTTGGCTTAAACTAAAACTGGAAAACATATTTATGTTTATATCTAAGATAATATTAGATTCTCTACTCAGATGAACAATAGCAGAAATGTCATCTAATGAATATCCAGTGAACTCCTTGAAAAGCATGGAGGATGTGGGGCAAATACTCATTTTCAGGACTTCCCACTGGTGAACATCCGTGGACCTTGCCCACGACATTTCATATGCTCTCCTCACCCCCAATTATTGAAACAACCAAAAATGCCTTTAAAAATTTCTGAAACATTCTCTAAAAGGGCAATACTGCTCTCAATGATCACCACTGCTCCAAACCTTCCAAACCAAAGTTAGCATGTGTTTTATTAAAAAATTGATCATTTCTTATGCTTAAGACTCTGTGTGTAATGCATTATAAAATAAAAGTATGTCAGTACTGATTCCTTTCTTCAAGGATTTAACAGCATAAGAAAGAAGATGGATTACTTGCATATATATATAATATTGAAAATATTTTTTATCAAAAAAGGAAGATGAAGGTGAGCTGAGAACACATAGAGAGGTCTCACAAAGACAGTACTGCACAAAATGAGATTTGAAAGATGTTGCTATAACAGCGATTTTCAACTGGTGTGCCACAAGAATTTTTAAAACATGCAGTACCTGACTATTTAGTCAGGGACACTGGCCTCTTTTCCCTTAGACTGTCAAATAAAAAAATGACAACAGCCAACATGACGATAGCTATCTGGTGTGAATGAATCAAGATTATACCTTTTGTTTTTGTCAGATTGGAAAATTAAATATTTTTGGTGTGCTCCAGAATTTTAGTAATCAGTTTGTGTATGCCGTGAGATGAAAAGGGTTAAACATCGCTGGTCTATAATGAAGGTCCCATCACGTTGCATCACAGATGAGTAAAGGGAGCCAAGGAGCCTAACTAGCATGAATGAGTTACTGTCAGAAAGTAATGGGCAGTAGCAGCAGGAACTAAGATTGGAGTAAGGCTGTCAGGTCCAAATGGAAATTAAATTGAATAATTCATGAATTGAATGTCAGAGATGGTTGCTTCATACAAAATATTTAAGGTTTGAGATGGCTATTTAGTGAATTTGGAGTTCACTAATAGTAAAATGAGAGGGCTTAGGATAAGGGACTCATGTTTCTTTAGTTTGGAATGTATTTTCAGTGTGTCTCTTTTTTGGGGGAATATTTGATTGTATTTACCCAGTTAAATCTGGGACGAACTCATAGCTGTGGTCCATAGGTTTACTGCACCCCAGACATGAATTGCCAAAATGACAGGTCATGATGTTGTGTCTCTTCTGTCTTTCTCTTTGCAGGTATGATTTTGTAGAAGTTGAGGACCCCAGTGACGGGACTATATTAGGGCGCTGGTGTGGTTCTGGGACTGTGCCAGGAAAACAGATTTCTAAAGGAAATCAAATCAGGATAAGATTTGTATCTGATGAATATTTTCCTTCTGAACCGGGGTTCTGCATCCACTACAACATTGTCATGCCAGTAAGTACCACTTAGATATCTGCTTATTTCATTAGCTCAGTTATTTGTTTGCGTTCTTTTTCCTTTTAAACTGGAGAATCAGGGAAACAAAAACTTTTCTCTGGATTAATTTTTATTTTAATAAATGTCACTCTAGTTATCACAACTTGAATTTCATCACAGTAGATCATTAGCCATGTTAAATACGTTTTCAATAAATGAGATAAAATGTGTTTTGTACAGCACTTAGACAATTGTAACAAACCCATTACCACCTAATTCACTGTTTGGTATTTCAGTGGTGATGAGAAATTAGTAGGATAGATAGAATTTTCTCTTGAACAAAATAAGAAATTTAGTGTATTTATTATCCTTATCACTTAGGGATCACCATCAAAATTTGGATTATAGAAATTCTTCCTGAATTAATTTTAAATATGGTCACATTAAATAATAAAATATAATTTTAGTTTTCTAGCATTTTTGTGACCCTTTATTATATGACTAGAGGCCTGATGCATGAAATTCGTGCAAGAATAGGCCTCCCTTCCCCCGGTTGCCAGCACTGGCTTCCCTCGAGGACTCTTGACTCAGGCTTCCCTCTGGCAGGCTGGAAGGTCGTCTGGTCTAATTAACATATTATACTTTTATTATATTACTAGAGGCTGGTGCATGGATTCATGCACTGATGGGGTCCCTCAGCCTGGCCTGCACCCTCTCGCAATCCAGGACCCCTCGGGGGATGTTGGACTGCTGGTTTCAGCCTGATCCTCACACTGGCAGTCCAACATCCCCCAAGGGATGTAGTAGTTTGTGAAGTGGCAGGCAGCCAGGGAGGAGCCTGAGCCTGGGCCAGGTACCACACCACTCCTCCATTCATCCCGGCCCCATTGTGCCTGCCGCCACCGCTGGCTGCCACCACAGCTGAGCTCTCCAGCCAGTGAGTCCAGCTTCTGGCGCCCATCAGTCAGCTGAGCAGCGCTCCCGCTGTGGGAGCGCACTGACCACCAGGAGGCAGCTCCTGCGTTGAGCGTCTGCCCCTTGGTGGTCAGTGTGCATTATAGCGACTGGTCAAATGGTTGACTGGTTGAACAGTCGACCAGTTGCTTAGGGTTTTATATATATAGATAGATAACCTTTTGCATTTTGCTAAATGCTACTCTTACCTTAAAGATGTGAAATTTCTGATGGCTCTAATTTTTAAATTCATATATATTTTTTGAAATGAATACATTGCAACGTTAGAAAGCCAGCACTATCTGATTTAAAAAAAGTATTTAGCTCAATTTTTCTACTTATGTTAATATTTATTCTGATTAAATAATATTTATGGCTTTTGTGCCACCTCCCTACCAAAAAAGATTTTCAAATTCTCATTGTAATTTAATAAATCTATTTTTTCTGATTATAATTACTGTATTTTTAGTTGTATCATGATTGCTTTCACCCTTATTTCATGTATTATTTCAAACATTTGTATCTGCTTATTGCACTGAAACAGAAATATTGAAAATCCTTTGATATTTTTATCCCATTCTCATAATAGTAAATCAGAAGCACTTATACAAATATGATGATGTCATCTAGTATAATTTTTAAATATGACGAATTACAGTGTGGTGAATGCTAAGGTGGAGGTGTTGGGTGGAGGTGGTGGGTGGAGGTGGAAGAGGGCATAGAGGCTATAAATGTTGATGGAAAAAATAAAACAAGTAAATATAAAATCCTATATAATTGATATCTTTAATGATTTTAGCTATTTAGTAAGTATATTGGGAACACAACATGGTGTTGGCTACATGAATTAGCATGTAGATTCTTGAATATAAACACTATTAATACAGCCAGGTAGCAATTCATGAGAATTCATGAGTCAAATCAGAAAATATGGAATTAATGCTTGACTTTATATATTATATTCACATTGTAATGTTAGTAGAAATTTTCCTTTTTGATTGCCCAAACTCAGGCCTGTGGAATTTTAGTTAAACAACATATTAAGAAATTTAAGTATTATTTAAGATACAGCCAAGAAAGCAACAATAAAATCCAAACTGAAGTTTGAAAATGGCAATTTATTCATGTACTAACAGTAGAATCATTTATTGTGTACAATTGAAGTTAAGGGAGATATCTCTAAAATATATGCTCTAAATTATATTGTGAATCTTGATCAATGTAATTATACAGATTATCCTATATAATAAAAGGCTAATATGCAAATTGACTGAACTGAGGAACAACTGGTCGCTATGACGCACGCTGACCACCAGGGGACAGATGCTCAATGCAGGAGCTGACCCCTGGTGGTCAGTGTGCTCCCACAGGGGGAGCACCACTCAGCCAGAAGGCGGGTTCACAACTGGTGAGCTCAGTGACGGTGGTGGGAGCCTCTCCTGCCTCTGTGGCAACGCTAAGGATGTCTGACTGATGTCTTAGGCCCGTTCCCCAGAGGAAGCAAGCCTAAGCCATCAGTTGGACCTCCCCCGAGGGCTCCCAGACTGCTAAAGGGTACAGGCTGGAATGAGGGACCCACCCTGAGTGCATGAATTTCATGCACCAGGCCTCTAGTTTAAAGATAAAAACCCAGCCATTTTATACAGCCTAGATGAGTTCTAGGCACAATAGAGGTTCTGAATCAGTGCTGGAATGCTAAGTTGATCATACAACTCACCCCAGCTTCATTAACAGGGACACTGTTTATATCTGTAAGTGAATATCAGATTTATGAGCCTTGAGATGAGATAAAGAACCATAAGGGTCTATGGTAAGTAACACCCATCCTCAAGTAAGAAGGGCCCTGCCACTTGGTATTGACCTATTACCAGAGATTTGCTGTGACTAACACTAGAAACGGCCTGAATTTGAGAGACCTTAGGTGAAACATGTAGCACTGATTATGTAATTAAAATTAAATTCAGTACATATGTAAATAGTTATTGAAATAGCTTGATAAATTATAAATATAGAGTTTGGTGGGATGAGAACTGACATTCTCTTGGTATCTATGGAAACATGTTTGGCATGGCAACTAAGTTGACCTGTGATGGGCTGCAGAAAATGGAGATATGTGGAGAAATAGCTTTAGGGACCTTATATAAATGTGCCTTATGCGTAGAAAAACAGAGAACATGATGGTAGGGTCCTACATTGCCTAATAAGTGTGACTTGGTGTTTTTAATTTTCCATATTGCTTTCTGGATTATTGACATATGAATTTTATAATTTCACAAGCTTTCATTCTTTTGGGTTTAAATTGATTTTGACAATTTATTGGCCAATTCCTCACCTATCCTTTGTCTTGGTTTCCTATATCCCTCCCTCGTCCCACACAGCTGCAGTCATTCTACAGTCAATAACTGCCCACAGAAAGAGCAGGATTTGATGAGCAACAATTTGAAAAGTTATTTTGTGTATTTTTTTGTTTTGTTTTTTTTAAATATATTTTATTGATTTTTTACAGAGAGGAAGGGAGAGAGATAGAGAGCTAGAAACATCGATGAGAGAGAAACATCGATCAGCCGCCTCCTGCACATCTCCTACTGGGGATGTGCCCGCAACCCAGGTACACGCCCTTGACCGGAATCGAACCTGGGACCCTTCAGTCCGCAGGCCGACGCTCTATCCACTGAGCCAAACCGGTTTTGGCTGAAAAGTTATTTTGCTCTTAAGCCTTGCACAGTGTTTTGAGTTATCATTGTGTATTGCTAAATGATGCTCCTCCCTCCATCCACTCCCCCCAACATTATTACTAGCAGGGCAGCAATCCATCAGTCTTATCTGTGTATCAATGAATGAAAGCCTAAGGGAAGAAAGTTTGCCTTTTGGAGAAGAGACTTAAAAGTTCTTGTGTCATTTGCTCAGGGGCAAGTGCCCCTTCAAGCCCCCTCCCTCCACCCATCATCTCTGATACTTTTTTTATGTGCCAACGATGAGCTTCATACGTAGCACACCCAAATCCCCAGAGGCAATGGTCTCAATGCAAACCCACCACTAGGACCTTAGGAGCCACTGGCCACAATGCTTTCTTACCTTGCTCATGATAAAAATGATATTAACTGCACATCTTTATTGGGCTATTAACTTCCTACTTTTAGGTTTGTTATGAAATGCCTAGTACAATGCCAGACACATTGCAGCGGCTCACTAATGTCTCTTAGACAGTCAGCTGTTTCCCCTTAGAGCTGTCTAAAACAAGTGGCGCTGCACTAACTTCTCATTTCCTCTGTTACCTTTGTAGCTGTTGCACAATAGTGATGATGCATAAACTAGAAAACTGAAGAATCACATGTTCTCTTGGTCCTGATATATTAGGCTCTATTAGCAAGAACACAATCTTGCTCTACTTAAAGAACTGAACTGTTTTTGTTTTATTTTGTTTTGATGAGGAGTGAAACATTCAGATATTAGGCTACTTAAAAAAAATTAAATGCATACTTATGACATTATAACTATTAATGTGTATAATCATCTTTACCTGCGGTTATAATTAATTTAATAAATATTTTGCATCTATTTTTATACACAGAAAAATGTTTGTGTTCAGTCACTTTTTTTCTGAGATAATTATGGAGAAAGTTGAGTTTAATATTTCTTATATTTTACAAGTAAGGAGGATAACTCTGCAGCTTTCTTTGGAAGCATATATGGATATTTGATACGAGTCAACCTTGAAGGCTCCGTGGTTCTAATTACCGTACATTAGTTAAAATTCTCAGAAACAGTTATTGCCACACATGTTGCCATTAAAAATTATGTTCACCTTCATAAAAATGATTTACTAACTTTTCCCCCGCTCAATGAATGAATGAGAGAGAGCATATAGTTAAATATAGGATTCTTTATTATTTTGAAAAAAGTGATGCCAATTTAATATTGAAAGATTGTTTACATATTTTACATATAGTGTACTTTCCTCTGTAATGTTATTATTTCACTATCATTTCCTTGATTCCCAGATACCTTAGAATAAGATATAAAAAATGTACCCTTAAATTTTACTATTTTAGGTTGATATTATA